ATATATATATATACATATACATATATATATATATATATATATATATATATATAAGTAGCAGCCTATATTATTTCCAGCAGAAAAGTTTTCTTCTAAAAAACAAAACAAAAAGCAGCACATTATAGACAATAAATTGGTTGTGAATGGTTGTAAAATGGCAGATTTTAATCTCTGAACATCAGATGTTATGTTGTGGTTTTACCTTCTTTGCCTCGGAGATCTCCTTCCCCAGGTTTATCGTGTAACAAATCTGAGAAGAAACAGCAGAAATTCAAGCGTTAGTCTGATATTAATTATGCGATGTCAGCGTTATGGTTTATGATATCAGACTGACCTTCTCTCCTTCAGTGTTGCTCTCAAACACGAACACGCTGAAGGAGGGCTGATCCTCGCCTCCGTTACTCCAGTCACTCCCCTGCAGAACAAACCCCATCAGCCTGCTGTTCTCCTGATGGGCGGCAAACTGAGTCACGTCCTTCAGCTGGAACTGACACACACACACACACACAACTGAGATGTTTCTGCTGTTGAGCAGAGAGATGCCATCGCTGATGTTTGGCTTCACTGACCGCACGCAGTCTTATTAATAAATCAACACTTACACTGATTTTGGTGACTTGTGTCTGTGGATCGATCAATCTGTTGAGACACAAAAACATTTTGGAGCTCCCTGAGCATCCTGCACAAATATAAATATGTGAAACAGAGTCCAGGTCAGAGGTGAGACAGCAGACGCACCTGATGCAGGTACTGGTGACCATCAGGTGGGATTCGGTGGTTTTGAAGATGTTGTGAATTGCGCGAGCGGCAAGAACCTGCCTCATGGCTTCATAGATCACTTCCTGTGTGTGACCGGCCCGAACGGCCATCGAACCCAAGAACCGCACGGCAAACACCTGCTGCAGGAGCGAATCTGGGATATTTGACAGAAAATAAAAGGAACGAGAGAAATTATATTTAGCAAAAAGATTATCCTACTTTAGGAACATAATGTGTAATAATAACATTTCTTACCACATTCTCATAACCATATCATGATGTTTTGAATGAATTCAAGTTTGTATATATTTATGTTTGTGTGTGTATATATATATATAATGTATAATACATAAAATAGATAACTTAATTCATAATCATTAAAATTACTTAAAAATATATATTTTTTTCTTCAATTCTTCTTTATTTAATTAAAAAACATAATTAATAAGGATGGTACATATAAACATAATTAAGTAAAATAAAAAGTAGTACTTTTTTTTGCTAGTGTTTTATTTACTTCCCCAGTGTGTTGAGTAGAAATGTGCTCGTCTCACCGTGTGTGTCATCATCCTCCGTCTCACCAAAGGGGTTTGTGCGTCTGACAGAAAACAAGCCGTTATAACAGAGCAGAGACAGTAAAACTATAAACACACAAACACAGGCCATAAAATGATAAGCTTATATAAACACTTCACAAAAGGCCAAACGGTTTATCATAAACTCTTCATGTGCTCAGCTGGTGTTTGACCTCTGACCTCGCTCCAGCTCGGTTCTGGTCCAGGAACTCGGACACGGGCAGCACGATGTCAAACTGGATTGGTGTTCCTGGGACGATCAGATCCTCAGGCTCGAGGGTTGCAGGGGCTTTCTGAGGCTCTCTAGAGGCCACACTGCTTGGTTTCGCTCTATGGAGGAGAGGAAAAAAAACTGGATTTTAAACAATAGTTTATAAAGATCTATTAAAAGATTTGAATAAACTATAAATGCATGAATGTTTAGTCATCATGAAATATTAGTACCGGTCGGGGTTAGGAGAACCCTCTGCTCGCTTCTCAAAGCTGGTGATGGGCGTCACAGCCTGCAGGGCCGTCTGATGCAACCTGATCGCCACAGCCTGAAAACATCACACACACACACACACACACACTTCAACTGACAGATTCATAGATTCACTCACATTAGGTGTCTGATACATACACAAATGTATAAATAATAAATAAATAAATAAAGTGTAATGAAAAAAAAAAGTAAACTATAATTTTAAATACAGTTAAATTAGTTTTGCCTTTAATTAAAAAAGTAATTTTTAATATGTACTGTATATACGTACATATATATAGATAGATAGATTATATATATATATATATATATATATATATATATATATAAATTGTATTAATGACTTGGTATTTAATTCTGACTGTTTTCTTGAAATTAATATATATAATTCAATTCAAATAATGTATTTGATTATGTACTTCATTATTAAAAAAATTATATTTTTCAAATATATATATAAAATATAAACAAATATATAAAAAAAGCAAAATATACATATTAAAATGTATAAAAATTGTATATAATGCAACAAGTGTGTGTGTGTATATATATATATATATATATATATATATATATATATATAACATAAATAGATAATTGTAATTTTTATTGCAATTTCTAATGTTTTTTTTACATACAGTTAGCCTTCATTTAATTAAAAAGCTATTAATAATTCATTCTAAATTATTATTTGCATAATCATTTACCTTCCAGTTATTAGGATTTTGCCAAGTTATTCCCTCAGTGCTAACATTATATATTTGATTCTAAAATATATATTGCTAGCATATTTGTTTATAATGGTATAATTGCTATAATCTGAGTAGGTAATAGAAAGCACTCTTTAAGACAGATCAATAAGACCGACAGCCATACCTCAGGATTGTCGGTTAGATAAATCTGTCTGGAAATGTTGTTGAGGGTGCAAATCCACTGTGGAGAAAGATGAAAGAAGTGCACAGAAACAATGTACAGTCATAATGTAGTATAAATCAGTCTATAATCAAGAGAGTAGAGTAAATACCTCTTCATATTCCTTCTTACTCTCAGCCTGAAGAATCAGAGACCTGAAAACAGAGTGAGAAAGAGCGATGGTGACGGCAGGAAGACATCAGAGCGCTTTCTACCAGCTGCCGTCTCCTGATCCTCTAGTGCATGTCTGCTATCTCAGGAACATGTCAGTGTGAACATCAGGAGAACAGCAGCAATAATGATCAGAGACCAGCTCTCTGTCTCTCACACACACACACACACACACATCAGGACATCATTAATCTGTGTTTAATCATTCAGCGGGAGATTCTGAAGAAGTGACACTGATGGAGGATCAGAGGAACGAGGTGAGAGGAAGACTCACTGGGGACATGAAGAGAGGTGTATGTTTCCTCCAGCACTACATCTTCTACACTGACATCTATTTAACATAACGGCTGGATTATAAAAACTTTAGTGTTCTAGTTTTATGTGTTATGTATCAAGACGGACAAAACCTGCAGTTGAAGCGAGTGAATCAACTGAGGCGATTTAAACTCAAAATTGAATGACTTTAATCTAGAAATATAGCAATGTTAATCGGCATTTATGCATTTGGCAGATGTTTATTCAATATTTAATGTCTGGATCTTGATTTTTTTTTTCTAACTCTTTTCTTCTTAAAATTTATTTAGTTTAAGTTTGAGAAACAATGCCTTTAATTCATTAAAAAAAAAAGATTTTATTCTCAAAATGCAGCTTAAGAGTTAATTCTCGCCATTTTATTTAAAAAAAAATTCCACAAAATATAACAAGTTTAGTCGTTTAATCACATAACTTAAATCTGAAGATATTTACCTTTATTTATAAAATTATATACATATTATAAAATATTAAAATTAACCTGTGTGTGTATATGTATATATATATATATATATATATATATATATATATGGTATGTGTTCCTTTTTAATATTTTATATGAATAAATGTTTATAAAATATAAATATTTAAAATGTAAATTTATATTGGAAGTATAAGGAAATAGATTTATATAAGAAAATTAAGTTAGAAAATTATTTTACTTAAAATCTGCACACTATGACAGCTTGCAAAAATATTTATTAATGTATTAATATTTATTAAACACACATATACACATATAATTATATATGATTTAATGTTCATATACACATATAATTATATATGATTTAATGTTTTATATATATAAATATATATATATATATATATATATATATAACATTAAATCATATATAATTATATCTAGTTTAATTATTTATTACATAATTTCAATATTTAATAAGATTTATAATATAGTTAAAAAAATAAAAAGTTCCACCTAGTATCTCTTGTTTGATGCCCCCAATTCATCTACAAAAACACTCACTGTAGCAGCCTGGGAACTTTATGAGCTGACAGATAAAGCCTGACTTGAGACCACAAACACTCGTTTGGCAGATTCAGACACAAGCACTGTCTCCATACGTTTTGCCGTTGGGTGAAGTGATCTGGAAGCAGTAGCGGCGGTCCTCACACTCGATGGCCATGACAGAACTGTTGTCCAGATCCAGAACCATCCCGCCTGCCACCGCACCCCGCGGCTGACACATCAGATTACCCCCCTGCGTGAAGAAAAACAAGCGGTCCCACGCCGTCGTCACCAGACCCGTCTTACTGCAGGACACAGAGAGTTCAACATGTTAAAGGGACAGTTCCCCCCAAAATTTTTATTCTGTCATTAATTACTCCCCCTCATGTCATTTCAAACCCGTAAGACCTTCGTTCATCTTCGGAACACAAATGAAGATATTTTTGATGGAATCTGAGAGCTGTCTGATCCTGCATAGACAGCAACGCAACTGAAATGTTCCCAAGTCCAGAAACGTAGCAAGGAGATCTGTAAAATAATCCATGTGACATCAGGGGTTCAACCGTAATTATACAAAGCTACGAGAAAACTTTTTGTGTTTTGAAACGACATGAGGGGGAGTAATTAATGACAGAATTTTCATTTTTGGGTGAACTAACCCTTTAAACATGAAACATCACCTCCCAGTTTTCATCAAATCTGACAGATATAAAGTGAGCCGTACTTCCTGATGTTGAGGTAACCGGCTTTCTGGATGAGGGTGCGATTCACGGGGACCTGATCGTGATCCGGCATGTAGACGCTGTCATCCACGGACAGGAGCTCTCTCTGAGACGAACGCATGACCTCTGCTTCCACCTCTAGCTGAGACTCAATACTGAACCACAGACAGAGACACACAGAGTCAATCACAGCCAATCAATGATCAATCAAAGAAATCAGTCTGCTCCTTTACCTCTGATTCATGCTAGAAACTGAGCTAAGAAAACTGTCCATCTTCTTCGACACCAGCTCCATCCCCTTCTTAAAGACATTTATCTGTGAGCAAACAGGATAAAAGATTTTTCAGCTATATTGACCATAATGCACACAAATAACACTTACATTAAAGCAAAAAGTCATGAGAGGTCGTGCATTAGTCATTTTACCACACATAAGTGCTGTTGTTAGAAATGCTGCAAAGAAACACACACAACCTTGAATGTCTTATTGCTTTATTGCTTTTAAATTAAAAAGCAGCTGTAAAAATATGATAAAAAGACATAACTGAAGAAAAAGAAATACCTGAATTCATATTTATATAACTATTATTCAAAAAGATACCAAGCAAATAAAATAGCATTTTTGAAATCATTGTTTTAATATGAAATATAAATATGATAATAATTGTATTTCTAAAAAATAATTAGAATCATCTTTTTATTTGTCTACTTAATTTAATACAACATAAAACACACCAATGTTTAAGAAATAACAACTAATATTAAAATAAATAGAAATATTAATATAAAAAACAAGCACACAAAATATTGTATTTGAAAATATGTTTTAAGAGTAATATAAATAATATAATAATGTTATTATTCAAAACAAAATAATTTATTTTGAAATTTTATATTTTGAAATATCTGATTGTTTTAATATTTATAAAAAAATATTCATATTAACCTAAAAGCAAATAAAATAGCATTTTTGAAATGTGAAATTTTAATAAGCAATATAAATAATAATATACTAATTGTTGTTATTTAAAATACAATCTTTTTTTACATTTGTCTACTTAGAAGTTAATATGATGAATAACTAACTTAACTTTAAATATCAATATTAATCTTCAAAAACAAGCAAACAAAATTGTGTTCTTGAAAGTGTAGTGTAAAATAAATAATATATATTAAATAATATTAATGTAATATAAATAGTAATATCATTATTAAAACAAAATTCTTTATACATTTTTTAAAATATAATATGTTCCTCCAAAAATAACTGAATATTAAAATAAATATAAAAAACAACAATAATCAGTAATAATAATAATCCAAAAACACGACAAATAAAATTATATTTTTGAAATTATTATTTTAAAAATAAAAATGTTATTAGAAATACAATTTATTTTTAAATTTTTCTACTTTAAATTAAATAAGATAAAAAGCACTAATATTTAATTAATAACTGGATTCATATCCAGTTAATAAGAATAATATTCATATTAAAATTTATATAAATAATACTATTACCAATATTACTAAATGCCAAGCAAATAGTATTTTTGAAATTATTATTTCAATATCTTTAAATATGTTTTAATTAATTTGTCTACTTGGAACTCACACGGCTGCTAAAAATTTTACAAAATTTTTTTTTTTCATATGTATCATGAAGTATATTGTCATTGACCAACATTTTTGAGAATATTAACTATTTCTTCATACAGCCCACCGCTAGACTACATGCATTAACTGATGTGTGGTCCCAAGTGTGCTTACAGTATATTATTTGCTATTCACAAAAGCTTTCAAATGTAGCTGATCCGTGAAAGAGTGAAGCAGTGATTGCTGGCTAGTTGAGGTTGTTTTGATCAGGTGACAGACCTGAGCGTGTGTGTATCCCAGCATGGGCTCCAGCACGGCCGCTCTCTTCCTGTACTGCAGCGCGTTCAGAGCACAATAATACTGCATAGCGGCCTGATGCTGCTTCCTGCGGCAATACGCCACCTCTCTCACCACCTCAGCTTTTATCTGTCCACACACACATTCAACTGCTCAATGCTGGATTCTGATTGATGGGTTTCATATAACATATCAGCAGACACATCTTATCAATATTTACCTTTTCATTTTCTCTCTTTTTAGGTAAACGACTATATTTCACCATGGCAGCTTCATGCTCTGAAGAGACAAAGAGAGACAGAAAGAGGTCAAAGTGGTTTTCATTTAGCATAGACATATTTTTCTTTCATCCATTATTAATAAAGAGATATTCTTAACCTCATACCATCACTGGCGATGCCGAATATCTCCTTCAATGTGCTGATCTCTGAAAACAAACATCACAGCGCTTTAAAATCTCCTTCACATTATATTGAGATCTGATTACTTATATATTACTATAATTAAAAACAGGATTTTCACTTTTGACAAACATAAAAAATACATATAAAAAGGCTTAAAAGAGTAAAAAAAAAAAAAACAGACACAAGAGTCTTAAAGGTAGAGTAACACTTAGCATTTAAACAGAGATTGTGAAAAATGCTCATGATTTATATACACTGATTGAGATTAAGAGTGATTTATGGAATATAAAAAATAACTCCATTCAAATTGATATAAATATTAAGATTAATTGAAAAGATACCAAGAAAATAAAACGGTATTATTCTCTTAATAAGTGATATAAATAATATAACAATTTTATTATTAAAAAATATTTTTTATTTGTCTACTTAGAATTTAATGATCAAAGACATCAATGTCTTTAAATTAAATTAATTATAGCTTAATAAATTAATTATATATATATTACTAAATTCATTTTATTTTAATAACTATCAATATAAATATAAATATAAAAAAACAAACAGACAAAATAGGTGTATTATAATATAAATAAATGATCATTTTTATGATTAAAAAGTCATTTATTTTTTATTTTGTCTGCTTGAAATTTAATATGACGTTTAAGAAATAACTGAACTAATTTTAACATAAAGATGAATATTATTCTATATACACAAGTGAATTAAATAGTATTTTTTTCATTATTATTTTTTACACTTTTGAAAATCCGTAAAAAACAAATTAAATAAATAAATAATATGTATGCAAACAGTCTGAAAAAGAATAAAATAAAAAATGGATGTATGAAACTTGAAGGTACAGTAACACAAACATTTAAACATCAGAGAGATGGTGAAAAGGTTAAAACGTTAAAAAAAACATACATTCTATAAATTCTATAAATGAATGAGTAATGAAATAAAACAGAATGAAAGCAGATGATCTTTAAGGTGAGTGTTGTACCTGTAAGGTCCTTCTCTCTGAATTGCACCATGGGAAACACCATCTTGTCTGCATACTGAGTGGCCAGTTCAGAATGCAGAGAGTTCAGCTAGAGAGATAACAGTAATATTTTAATAGTTACGTTATTTAAATATTTATAAAATATTAGTGTGCTGCATGTGGACAGTATAAGAAAATGCAGATGTCACACTGCAAGTTGTTGCTGCTTTGATCTAGATGATATTCAAAATTCTGCATTGTGTAAAGGGGTCATATGATACGATTTCAAGTTTTCCTTTCTCTTTGGAGTGTTACAAGCTGTTCATGAATAGATAAGATCCCTGAAGTTGCAAAGATTAAAGTCTCAAACCCAAAGAGATATTCTTTATAAAAGTTAAGACTTGTCCACACCCTCCTAAAACACCTACTTTAAACACGCCCCCACATGTCTACGTCACTGTGTGGGAAGATTTGCATAACGCCAACAAATGCCTCGTTTATAATGGGTTTTAATGTTTTTGCCTCGTCGCGCCGGGACACGGCATCACAGTATGGTGAGGGGCGTAAAATTTCGGCCAATCATAACGCACTGGATAGCTGGCCAATCACAGCACACCTCGCTTTTCAGACCGATGAGCTTTGTAAAAATCGCCGCGTTTCAGAAAGGCGGGGCATAGAGGAGAAACAGTAATGTACAGTATGTGGAAAATAATGTGTTTTTTTAACCTTAAACCGCATAAACACATTGCATTACACCAAATACACAAAATAATGTTCTTTTTTTAGCAACGTCATATGACCCCTTAAGGCAAATAATGAAGGTCATGTGATCAGGCCATCATAGCAAATATCAAACAACCTGTGATGGCCTCACTCTGACCGAGAGACCCTGCGGTCACACACACACACACTGCAGGCATCTTCTCACCTCTTCCACGCTTTTGGCGAAGTGCTGTAAAGTGTTGATCACCTCTTCTTCACCTTTCGCCAGAGCAAAATTCTGCACCCACAAACCATCAGGTCAGACTGATCAGTAACACATCAGATATTCAGACATTCCCACAACTCATCATGACTGCTAATGTCAAAACTGCTTACCTGTTTCTCATAGTCCAAGAGCTGCTTAGAAAGCTGTTCTGTCGCCAGAGCCATTTCATTCTGCAGACACAAAGAACATTCATTTAGTCAGATGAAGAATCGGAGCTTGTCTAAGGTCTTATGCTAACACAAATCAGAATGCATAGGTTGTGGGATCTTTGTGAGAAAACATGTTTCTTAAAGGGGCTAATTTGATTGATTTTATTATATAAACTTATTAAAAATGTAATTACAAATTGCATTTTATTTAAAATTGTAAATTAAATTGAAAAAAAAAAGTATATTACATAAAAGTTTATATACATATATATATATTCACCAAACAAGAAATGATTAAATGAAAACTGAATAAATAAATGCCGAAAATAAAATTATGAATCTAAAAATACAGATATACATCTATCAAATGTATGAATATATAATCAAGGTTTATAACTATTCATATTTATAACTTAAACATTTACATATTTAGGATTTAAAACGAAATATTCAGATTTACATCTATATATTCATGGTTTACATTTACATATTCAGAGTTACACCAATATATTCAGAATTAAAACTATACTGTATAGCTGGATTTACATTTATATTTCCAGACTAATAATTGCATATTAAGATTAACGTACATTCAGATCTTTTAAAAAAAGTTTAAATTCAGATTTACATCTATATATTATTCAGGATTTCAATTTAAATATTGAGACCTATAACTTTATACATTCAGATTTACATTTATATATTCAGTTTGATAATTACATTCAAATTTATACTTGCATATTTAGAATTATAACTTTATATTCAGGTCATAAAAACATATATTACGTTTTTTTATATATAATTATTTCCTGTCTGGCCGTTTATAATATATAATTAAATTTAAAGACAACAAAACACCTAAATTATAAATTTTACATTCATAATGTTCCATATTTCCAAGTATATGGATGTGGGGCGGGACTTTATCCTTTGGAATTTGATTGGACCGTAAGAGTTATGCTATGATACTATTGGCTATTATTATTTTCCACACCCCTTTGGCCCTGGTGACATCATCAGAAAAGAACATTTGTTTCACATGTGAAGAAAGTTTGCTAAAAGACCATAAAAACTAACTTTTACCCTTAAAATAACATGCACTGATCATTTGTGCACAACAAACTGAACATTTATTCCAAAATACAGACAACTTCACTGATGAAGTCAATGTGAAAATGTGTGTGTACCTGTGCTCCAAACACTCTTTGCATAGACTGGAGCAGCTGGTTTGTGTAGTTAGTGAGCGTGCCTGCATCCTCCTCAAACACACTGAGCAAGGACCGCGTCTGCAAACACAAACGCCAGTGAACACAGGACGCATACTATTCTCCATACTCACACAGTGTCAAATGTGCTAAATGAACCCAACAAGCATTCGTGCAGCGTGAAGCATGCTGGGTGTATCCACAGGTGTGTTCTGTCAGGGATCAGGACAGACTTTTGGGTGTGTTTCCAATGCAAACAATGCGAACGGCCGGGCGGACACATCTGTGGGTTCATAATCTCCAGCGCAGAGCATTATGGGGTTATGACTCAGACAAATAACTCCTGCTTATAAAGTAAATCATTAGTTCACTGAGAATATCACAAGTATGCGGGAGAGGCTTCACGCTTTTGAACTGCAATGAAATAACATGCAAATTACTAGGCTTCATTATGACTTTTGCATAGACATTAATAGTCCAAGCATGTTGCAAGGCAATGCAATGCATGAAACAATGTTATATCAACGTTTATCAAACGTCTTTTGTTTCACTCGATACCTCAGACCTGTCAGTTGCAGAGCTGATACTGAATATCATTTGTTGTTGTTGTTTCTGACCTGACGTTGATGTCTCAGATTTGATATTAATATCTGATTCATCTAATGTATCAATATCAGACTTGAGTGGGTTGGACCACCTAAACAACATCTCACTCCTCCCATACAGGCCCCTCCATTCACAACTCCACTACTAGCAACACATTTACAACCTTAAAGGGTCAAAGCGGTTAATAAGACGCGCGTTTGTAGCGTCAGATGCACGATTGTTTATATTAATAAACATATGATCAACAACATACGTGCAGGATGCGTCTCGTCTATGGCGCTTATCTGAAATCAAAAGCTTTAACGATTAACCATACATGCAATGATATGAACTCAACGAGCTGAGGTGATTCTCCGCTTAATCGTACACTTAAATTTGATTTGATTTAGATTAGCTGGCACATACGCGCTGCGACGCGACGCGTGTCGCGACAACCGCATTATCAGTTTTGCAACGCTAAACGCACAAAACTAAACAGTTATGAGTACTAAAGCATTGCACAAAGGTTTATTAAAATAATTTTTACCTGCGGACTGTCTTGCAAGGCCTCCTCGAGTAATAATTTGTGGTGTACGGCCGGCATCTTTCGCGTCGGAGACGGTGGGAAGGGAATACAAGGATGAGGACTACATTTCCCAGCATGCAGCTGCTCAGATAGGATCCGGAACTGCTTTGGTTGCATGTTGGGAAATGAAGTCCTATTTAGTTAGAATTGAACCTGCTGCAAAAATACGCATAAATAAAGCACCATAAATGATCATTTAAAAAGCATCTTGTCGTTAAAAAGGATGCGGAACTCAAATCATATATAATATCTCATAAGGAAAGATAAAGTGTTGTTTTGTCTTTTGGGTTGCAAAGCTTGCTAACTTCGATCCAACAATACCCTCTACTGGACTACACTGGCATATTGTTACCATTCAAAGTTTGCATGTTCATTCGTAGGTTAATCTTATATAATAATTTATTTTTATATATACATATATATGTGTGTGTGGGTGTGTATGTTTTATGTGGTTTATGAGGACACAAATTTGTATAATAACATGGGTATAACATAGGTATTACAACGAGAAGGTGATTTATGAGGACATTTTCAGTGTCCCCATAATTCAAACGCCTTATAAATAATTCAGAATGAGTTTTTTTGAAAATCTAAAAATGCAGAAAGTTTCCTGT